GTATATATATGTACCCATGGAGAACGCTCCTTTGTAGTCCATCTCAGCCATCGACACATCAGCAGTAGCCGGGTCCATCATGAACACCTTCTCATTGTTGCACAGCTGGAACTCCGTGTTGAGCGAGTAAACCACAGGAACAGGCCTGTTGGTTTGTTGGAAGGCAATCGGCACCAGAAACCTGTGGGAAAAAAATTGTGTTCAAGCTCCTTATGCAGTAAATCTCTCTGAAATTTGTTTGGAATCTTGTTGGATTTAAATAAGAGAACTAATTTGAGAAACTGTCTGCGGTAAATGTCTGCAGCTGTTTGGTCGTACTTCTCTGGAGCGTGAGCTGTGCAGGACAGCTGTTTGTCACCGGGATCGATCCACGGCTGAGTTGGCTGAACAGTGCAGGGGACCAAGAAGACTGTGTACTCTCCAGAATAGTCCTTCCTGTTCAAGAAAACACAAAATTATTACTATCACACACTCATCATCATGGGAGGTCAACACAACCTGAGCCTATAGGCTGGTTATGAATGAATGTACTGACCTGCTGTAGGAGCTGGTAGCCCTCCACAGCTGGTACGGTGAGTCAAAGGTTTGAGCGCTCCACAGCAGCTGGATGTCAAACTCGATGCCTCCGAGGTGGTCGGGGGCCATGAGGCGGGACTTGTGGCCCGGCAGGGTGTGGTGCTCAAGCACAAACTGACCTGGAGGGAGAATAACAGCAGGGGGTTTGATTTTTAGTGCAAAAAAAAGAAAGAAGAAGAAGAATATATCCTGCATCCTATTTTTGCACACCTCATAAGGCTTTGGGGTCTAAAGGCACCGTAATACCATTTGAACAGGCACAGTAAAGCCCTCTGAATGCAGTTCTACAATAGGGCACAGCGAAAACCTGAAGCTAAATTTAAAAATAACAAATGTTTGACCATAAAGGCTAGAACTGTGTAGAACTGTGGGATAAAACTGAAAACCTTAAATTGTCAGTTTAATTTCCTCTCTCTGTGTCCTCCTCATATATTGCTGTAATAAAAGATGGATTTACATGATTTACCTCGATCACAGACTGCTCTCTCATTAGCTTCCATTTCTTGTATCAATAACAATATTAAGGCAGACATAATAATTCTATGCAGTGCTCTTAGAACGTGTGTTTGTGGACTGACCTCTGAATTTGGCGTGAGTTTTAAACTCAATTACCAGCCGACCGTCTTCCCTGATATAGATCCTGATGATCTGCAGTCTGGCTGAGAGGACGCTGTCAGTCTGGATACCTGCAGACATGAAAAGCCAGCCAAAGAAAACCTAAATTAGAGCAGAAGTACATCACTAATAATTTCTTGAATAAGAACTTGGATACTTTGAAACAGTCAAATCCCTCCATTCCAAAAATGGATCTTAAATGATTTATTTCTACACTGCATTTTCATCCTTATCCCATTTTTCAGAAAGGAAATAAACATTGTTACCCTGCACAATGAAAGCAAAACTACAATGTGACATATATATATATATATGTAAAAGTCATTCCACGAAAAATGAGTCTGACCACCTCAGAATCAGCTGTTTTTGTTTTATTTTATTATTAATATTAATAAATAATGAATATTTATTGTACTAATTTGGGGGTTTTTATACAGTAAGAGGCATTTATCTTTAAAATGTAAACAACATGCTGATCTGTTTTTGTGTTTTTTTAAATATTCAATAGTGGACATGATTACTAATTTAACAAAATATATTTCCTCACATTACTCATACTTTTCTGTTACTATTATATACAGAAACATGTTTTCATTATGTAATAAAACAATCAAATTTTGTTTACTGTATTTTACAATATTGTATGAACCGAGTCACTCAATTCCCTAAAGTAAACGCTTCAGTACACAGCAGAAAACCTGTCCCTCTGCTGCCCCCTGCAGGTCAGACTCTGTACGGCAGGGTTTTGTGGAACCCTGAGCAGAACCTGAACGCAGCCTACAAACTGCAGCTGGAGAAGGTTTACCTGTGCACTGGCAGGGACGGATATGTTCCCTTCTTCGACCCCACGGGGACTCTGTACAACGAGGGGCCGCAGTACGGCTGCATTCAACCCAACAAACACCTCAAACATCGCTTCCTGCTGCTGGTACAGATTTATTTAAGTTTTCCGATTTGAAAAAAGAGACTACAGTGTTTCTGGACATGTGCTATCATTTCTTCTCTTCATGTTTCCTCTGCAGGATCGTAAACAGCCCGATGTCTGTGACAGATTTTTCCACGACGTTCCTTTCGAGGCTCACTTTGCCTCAGACATCCCAGAGCTGCAGTCCATGACGGCCATGCCAGGTGTTGACGGCTTCACGATGAAGGTTGATGCGCTCTACAAGGTGTGTGGAATCAGAAGCAGCACATGTGGTACAGCGCTGTCTAGCACAGCAATAGTGTGTTTGTGTGTATGTGTATATATATCTGATGTGAGAAGTAGCTGTTAATATGCTGTTAAGTTAATATGTAAGTTTGATTACAAGAAAGTAATAAAGATTTGGTCCAGACAGTAAAGACTTCTTGTTCAATGAGCCACAGCAGCTTTGAACTTTTGGAGATGCTTAAAATAGTTACTTTGATAAAATCTCAATCAGTAACAAGAAGTATGGCAGATAGACCTTTGTGATATGGCTATGAAAGATCAGTTATATTGTAACAGAATACTTAGAATCTGTGGGCAAGTGATGAAAGTTTGATATCAAAAGCTGGTAAATATAAATTTCTTGAAATGCTGAAGTCTGACAGTTTAGCGTTCCTTAAGCTTTTGCATTCATAAACAGTGACCCGCAGACAGAACAGGAAATTTTTTCCACTGTTCAGATATCTTAGCTTGACCAACGTGTAGAAGGAGGCTCGCAACATTCACAAAAAGAGTGGGTGTGGGAACTGCAGTAGACTTAGAGACTTAGAGCTTTTTATTGTCATTGTGCAGTTTCTTGCACAGCGAAATTGGGTAGCTGGACCACAAAGGTGCAAAAGTAAGAAGAAGAGAAACCAATCTACAACAAAGGGGGAAAAAATATATAATAAATAAATAAAATAAAAAGCAGTGTATATGTATACATATATGTGAGTGAAACTATATACATGGTGTATGTGTAGGAAACATTGAAACAGACTGGGACCAACATAACTGCACATGAGCCAAAAATATTGCACAGAACATGGAAAGACTGAGATGTTTGCACATGGATGATCAACAGCAGTGTCAGAGTGGAGGTGTTGGGGAAGTCTTTACACACTCTTAGTTTGCATTAAGAGTTCTGACAGCCCACGGGAAGAAGCTGTTCTTTAGTCTGTTGGTTTTGCACCTGATGGATCTGAACCTTTTTCCAGAGGGCAGGATGTTGAAGAGGTGGTGGTTAGGAAGGAGGTGGTCCTTTCTAATTGCCCTGGCTCTGGAGAGACATCTTGAGCTGGCAATTAAGTCCAGGGAGGGGAGTGGACCGCCGATCACCTTCTCTGCAGTTCTGATGACCCTCTGTAGTCTCTTCTTGTCAGCTGTTGTGCAACCAGCGTACCACACAGGGATGGCGTGCACCAGCACACTCTCGATAGTGGCACGGTAGAAGGACACTAGGAGGTCAGTCTGCAGCCTGTTCCATCTCAAAACCCTCAAGAAATGGAGGCACTGCTGGGCTTTCTTTACTAGGGCTGATGGGTTTGTGGACCAGGATAGGTCCTCAGATATGTGGGTGCCGAGGAACTTAAAGGAGGACACCCTCTCCGCATAGTCACCTTTTATGGAGAGGGGAGGGGGATCAGTTCTTGCTTTGCGGAAGTCCATGACCACTTCCTTGGTTTTCTTGGTGTTTAAGGTGAGGTTATTGTAGTTACACCATTCTGACAGTCACTGGACCTCATCCCTGTAGGCGGTGTCATCATCGTTGGTGATGAGCCCCATCAGAGTGGTGTCGTCTGCAAATTTGATGATGATGTTGCAGGGGTGCGTAGGGGTGCAGTCACTGGTGTAGATGGTGTATAAGAGTATAAATTTACTTAAGTAAAAGTACAGATAGTTCTGCTAAAAGTACTCTGGTGAAAGTTGAAGTACTGATTTAACTTCTTTACTCAAGTAAAAGTGAAAAAGCACAGTCTCTGAAATGTAATCAAAGTATAAAAGTAAAACTTTTCTCTTTGGAGGATATTTGTACCAGCTGTTCTGTGCAAAGCTAACTGAACCCTTGATGTAACTTAACACTGACCACGAACGCCACAGCTGCTCTGCACCAATCCAACATAACTCACTACCCTAAGTTTCACCACAGTGCTGCAAACAGTGTAGCCTGCACTGAACTGCCTAGTGTTTACATGCAACCTGTGAAAAACAAAAAATTAGTATACTTAAAAATAAGTACAGTAAAAAAATAATGAGTACAGTAATGAAGTATTTGTACTTTGTTACTTCCCACCTCTGGGGCGCCGTAGACCAGCTGGATGGGTCCAGATTGATCTGCATATTCTACATAATAATTCGTGAACACTGAATGTACTTTACAACAAACTGTGCCGCTAACATGATCCTCTCTTTCTGGGGATTGACAGGTGGAGGCGGGGCACCAGTGGTACCTGCAGGTAATTTATGTGATCGGCCCCGAGTCGCGGTCCAACCCCAGGATTCAGCGCTCTGTGACGTATCAGCTCAGCCGTTCTAAACGTGACCTGGTGGATCGCAGCGGCCGGCTGACGCTTGACGAGTCGCTCATCTACGACAACGAAGGAGATCAAATAAAGAACGGCACCAACATGAAGTCGCTCTACCTGGAAGCCGGGCCCTCCCCCACCTTTAACGCCCACGTGGGCAGCTCCGTGGGGGGAGGTGTGGCCGCCATCACCCTGCTGGTCCTGGTCCTGCTGGCCTCCTGCTTCCTGTTCCGCCGCTGCCGACGGTTTGCCAAGAAGAAGAGCAAGAAGAAGGAACCAAAAATCTACGAGGAGTATCCGCTCAACACCAAAGTGGAGGTGTGCATGGACAAGTGTGTGGAGAAGAACTTCGGCACCAAGCACTGCACGGTGAGAAACATCAACGTCCTGAACCGCAACCAGGAGGCCAACAGCAAGGCCAAGGTCAAACAGGTCAACCTGGAGGTCAAACTCCACAACAACCTCAACGACGGCACTGAGGTCTGAAACGCGTGACGAGGAAGGCGAGGAAAAGGTGAAAGTGGAATTTAAAAAAAGGTATTTTCTAAAAGAAAGTTTGTACTTAATGGAATGAGAGGTTAATGTATTTTTATACCACGTTGAAAAAGGGAAGAGTGTGACGCGCAGGCGACTGGGCTACCTCAGGAATCCATAAAACACACAGCTGTGTGAAACAGCCAAAACATCTGCATCTGATCAGCCAAACTTCACCTCAAACTGTGTTCATTTCATTACTGTGTTACTTGACATTTGCAACCTTTTTAGCACCAAAACGGTGAACCGTAGCTCAGACACTGGTGATTGTTTTTGTAAGAAAAAAAAACACATTAAAAAAATTCTTTCTGCTGCATTTATTCACGTCACTGCTATTCATGTCCCTGCTGTGGAGGGGGAGCCAGTGTAGGAGTCCTCCTTCAGATGAACGATGGGATCAGAAAGTCCTAGAACAGGCCTTTTAAATGTCTCCCTTTCAAGATCATCTTCTGGAGCATAGCCAAATCTATATTTTAAAGTTGCTCCCCGAGCTCCTGCTACATCACTACTTACTGTTCATGTATTTCCTGATGGATGGATCCTCCACCCTTGGGTAGATGTGGGCATCGTGCGCCTGCATTTCTGCCGTGTTCTCTAGAAATGCAGCATGGTTGGAAAATTGTTGGAATTCATTGACTGTGGGTCAAATATCAATGACCCGTCTGCCGGTCGACCAGGAAAAAGAATAGACAGTCAATGAGAAAAGTGCTTCTGCCAAGTTCCAAACCATAAACTGTCAGTGCTGCAGTCCCGGATGCTCATGCAACTACCCCAACTTCACAGTAAGACTACAACTTTGTGATCACTAGCAGTAGTGCTAGCAGCCCTGTTGTTGAGGAAAAGAGTGCCTGATTGTTGAATACATTCACCATTTTCCACATACACACAGTTCAAACAGTCAGCTCCTGCCATGAAGAGCTGTTTTTCTTTAAATGAAAAGGAACGTAATAAAAACCCAGCTCTCGTCACCAGCAGCAGGTTTTCCAGAAACACTTCCTCCGGCTGGTCTTGAGGCGTTCCTGAGCTGGATCTCTCCAATTAGTTTTGGGCGTGCCCAGTAAACCTCCAATAGTTGGTAGGCAGTCTCCAAACCTCCTCAGCTTCTCCTCTGGTCTGAACCACATCGCACATATCAGGAGTTAAATCATCTGTTTCATCATCAGATGATCATCAAAAGGCTTCACAAAGACACAAAGAGAGCGGCTTGTGTCAGGACGCCTGTCAGTTATTGTGGCCACGCCCTTAATTCCAATATCCAAAAACACACAAAACAATTGGCATCTTATTATAAATGTAAACTACCAATAGAAGCAAGGCTGAAAATGTGCTTTTAATGCTGTTAAGTTGGGCATTTTTGCATGGAGGTCGATGGGTTTGACTCGCTTTTGGAGCCATCGTCAAGACTCCAGGCCATCCCGTCCTGCCCTGGCTCCATGAGGGGGCCTCAGTTTTCCATCTCATGGCAGAGGTTTACCGTCTCTGAATTATCTGCTTCACTGAGGGATTTTTGAATTCTATACCTGAGGATAACGAGTTTATTCGTGTTCAAATCAGGGCTTCTCTAGAAGATGACCTTTAATGTGACATCAGCCAAATTTAAAGCAATGTTTTCATGTTTTGGGGTTTTTTGGCTTAAAAGCTGGAACTTTCTGATCCCCTCTTGTATTACTAGTGTTGCTCAGTGATTCTGCAGATGAATTAAACATCAAAATTCTGGCTCCACAAAAAAGAAACGTCCTTCAGAGAAACCTCTACACGAGCTACAGCTGCTGTTAAAGTGTTTGGCACGTCCGGTGTGCTGCTATCGCCCGAGAATGAATGAGTGTAAATAACAAAAATGAATGACAACCTTTTCAAGTGCAATTATGCCATCTCTTTTGTTATTTCTGCCTTCATTAGCAGGATTTGCATTTAAAAAATAAACCTGTTTTTAAGCCTTACTTAGAGACATTTGTACTGTCACGTTGCTCAACACCAGTTCTTAATTTTTGAGTTTGTACTGTGCTCTGACAGCTGCCAATATTAAGTGCCATGCAGTATTTTTCCTCATGAATTTCAGAATAAATCACCCAAAGTTTTTGTTTTTTTCTGTGACAGTGTACGTAGATTTTCACTGATCCCGTCCACACGATCGACTGCTTCAGCCTTACTGTTGTCCTAATGAAAATAATCACTTATAGGAGATATGTGTCTACCTGCCTTTGTTCTGCCCAAAGACACAGAATCCATTTTCTCACATCGCTCAGATAATTATTTGTATTCATTTATGTACTTTTATGTTACCCTCCTGTGATGTATTATGTTACCACTCAGCTACTGATGTACCTGTATTATTTTTTTAAGTGTATGACACTGGTTCGAGTGCACTGCTGAAGAAAAACACGTTTGTTCTCATGTGATGCGTCTTTCTCGCTGATCCCACCTCCTGTCATCTTCCCACTGTGTGCCTATCAAACTACACGGGAGTGGGGAATTATGGGAATGACATTATGTTTTTGGTGCTATCATTTTGTGGAAAATGACAACAATGCTATCAATACTGATGCCTGTATTTGGTGCCTTTTTTAGTAATAAAAAATAATCTGAAACTCAGCAAGTTTTTGATTTAACTTTTATTTATTACTATTAGATTCTGCTAATGAACCATAAAATTAAAAGATTAAAGATTAAACCACATTTTGTTCTTGGACTCTGCTTGAGTAGCTTAGCATGATTCACAGTTCATAATAATCCATTATACAAAGGCCAGTTCATCCTCTGTCTGAAACAAGCCATCTTACCTCCTTTCTGTTTAAGGCAGGGATCCAATGCAGTTGACTTTATGAGCCACATACAGCTACTTGATTTTAAGATAAACTATTCCTCAATAACATTTTAAAACCTAAAAACTGCAAAGTATTTCAGTTGTTTGAGTATGAATGAGTTTAACAACATGTTTGTTATAAAACTGGTGATGAAAATAATTGCAACTGTAAAAATGTGTTTGAGTTCTGTTCCTCTGTCGGCCAACACTTTCAGAAATCAATGCAAAAAGTTAGGAGCAGATCATGAATTCACAAAAAAAGAGTCCCATTACTTACTTACTTTGTAAGTAATGTTATCTGGTATTAAATGAAGTACAAATAATTAAGAAAAACGTCCCTTTTTTGCAGTTTAGTGGTTTATAATTTACTTATGGTCACAAAGAAGAAAGTAAAAATCCTCCTTTATAATTAGATAAATACAAACTCAAATGAACAACAACACATGAGCCTATACTATTAACTTATATACTTAACAAAGATTAAGCTTAAATTCTTGGAGAACCACTTTTAGCAGCAGTAAGTTGAAGTAGTTGTTTTCTGAGTGACTTTATGAGTCTCTCACATAATTGTGGAGGAACTTGGCTCACTTTTCTCTACAACATTGGTTCAGCTCATTGATGTTTGCAGGCCCTGATTTATGCACAACTCTCTCACTGTCCCATCACAGCATTTCACTGGGGTTGAGGACACAGTGTTTTTATATATTGTTCACCTGAGGTTGTATTTAAATAATTTTAGAACCTGTTGAGGTCCAGATTTTCCACTTAATGAAGCTGAATTTTCTTTTTCATGACAGCACTACTGGTGCAGCGTTTCAGGCCATGCACAACCTCTTCATAAGTGAGGCTGCTGTAAAAGAGACACAAGTGTGATTTGCAGTTTTTACATTTCCCAAAATGATCCAGTGGGCTGAACCTTTATGTCAGGCCAGTCCTGGGCTCCGTTCTGTATATTTGACCACCATGCTTTAAGCCACGTTTCTTCTCATTGGCCCTCATAAACCACAGGTTTGAACAGCATGTGCTCAAAGCACTGTCTGCCTGCAATCACCATGTTAGAAATTCAAACTGAGTGTTTAAGGCAAAGCTTCTGCTCATAGGGATTTACTTGTGTTTGTGACTGACATCATTATGAGCGCCCACCACTGGAACAGTAAGGTTGTGATAAATAAGGACAGAGATGGCAGCAATTACCTGCTGTGACATATTTTTAGTCAATAAAGATGAAGTGATTTTTACTGATGTTCGCCAGGTTTGTCCTAGCATGTAGAAATGTCATTAAATTTACTTGAGTGACTTTAAAAGAGTTTGAAATCGAAAAGGAAAATATATCCTTTATTTTTTTTTAAACACTTCACCAAATAACTTGTATGAGAAGGAGGTCGGCTGTATAAGAATAACAGCAGCCTCTTATTTATTACTCTCCAAATTCAACACCAGCAGGACCCTGATGACAGCGACCTGCACACCTGAGGCAAAGACCCGTCTACTCACCAAAGACACTGGGTTAGATCTCACCGTGTACTCTACTCTGCAGCTGTCTTTCTTTCTTATTCTGCTTCCTGCTTCTAGGATATTGTGCAATTTTGTTTGATTGTTTTTTATAGTAATTTATTATTTTTTGCAGATTTTAAAAAGCTCAAACAGAAAAAGTATAAAAGAAGAAAAAGACCTCCATGATGTAAAGATCCCTTTAAACCAGCTGCTGCTTCCTCCTTTGTCTTTTTAAGATTGTAGTTTTCTTACTGTGTTATTTTTTATGCTCCACGTTTAATGAATAAACATCCCAGTGCTGCTAAACCAGTTACTCCAGTGGAGATAGGTTAAACTAGTTCCCACTGTGGGAGTTTTCAAATTGACCAAAAAATCTGACCAAACAGATAAAGACTGAAACTATTTTTTTTATATATTTTACTTTGCAAAGTCATGATATCATTTAGGCAAATTATTAGGTTCAGTATTAAAGATGGTTTGTTGGTTTATTTAGAAGGCTTTCTGCTGCAGATCTCTGAAATGTACAAGTAGTCCCTGAAGGCATCACCTGACTGTAAGCCAATGACTGTAAAACTGTGCAGTCACTTGTAGAGATTGGGAGTGGCCGGTTTTCAGGTAGCTCGTTGTTTTTTGCAGGTAACCAGGAGGTGCAGCAGGTAAAATTTCCGGTTCAGAGAGAAATCTAGGTGAGCTTTTTCTCATTTATTTATCGTCTTTCATTGCAGCACATTAGACACTGTTCATTTAGAGTTGATTAGAGATGGTGACTTGTCTCCTGAACTCCTTATTAGTCTTACAGTTTATCTCCATTTCCAGTCTTTATCTTAATCAGTTTGCTCAGTGTCCTGCTGGAGCTGCTTCTCTGTAAACTGTGTGACTCCAGTAATAAGAAGTATCACAGGCTGAAGGGTTTATTTGCTTTCTGTTTAGCAGATATTCATATAGACAAGCCCAGATGTGACAACAGGGCAATGCTTTTCAATCATATGCTTTACTGAGGTATCGCAGCAAACATGAGAAAATAAGAACACCCCACAAAGACTCCGATATCCTGTATTTTCAGGGACTGATGGATTAATAGGTGAATTTTACAGAATAGTGCATAAGCTCATTGTACATAAAATGTTCACGTTTAAGCCAATGTTTAACGCTACGCCATATAAAGACAGTTAGTGAATGTGCTGTTGCTGTTTTGCAGACAAATTATCTGCAGACATCATGGGATCTTTATGGGTAAGACATGTCCTGTGTTTTTTATCATCATTATTATTATATCAGTAAGTGTTTGACTTATTTAACGTGCTCTGCAGGATGACTTGGAAAGCCTCGTGGATGCTCCTTCCTCTTTCTCAGCAAAAGTAGGTCAAACTAAGCCTTTACCCTCGCGTCAGGTGTCACCGAAGGGCTTATGATTACAGAAATTACATAAAAGAGCAAAATAAATGCTGACAGGTGAATGTATCTGTGCTCTTCAGAGTGGAGAGCGAGGAACCATCAAGCCCAAAGCAAACTTTGATGCAGAGCAGGATGCTGCAGCTCTGAAAAAGGCCCTTCAAGGACTTGGTACGAATGCACACAGTCATGTTTCCGTCATTTGAAAGTACTATCAATACATTTTTGATAAAGTAAACTTTACAAATTGAGGTGATTATTAGATTAAACCTGAAGGTTGCTAGCACAGTTAACACGCTGCGTTCCTTGTTGCTTTTATTGTGTTTATCAGTCTGACTCTTTGCTTTTCATTTGTAATGTCTCAGGCACGAATGAGAAGATTGTGATTGAGATTCTGACCACCAGAAGCAGCGCTCAGAGACAGCTCATCTGTACAGCTTATGAAAAAGCCACCAGCAGAGTACGAAAACAAATCTGTTTCCTTTATTAAGACTGCACCTGCATCTTATTCTGAAGGAACACGTTAAGAAATAGTTCATCGATGTCAATGTTCATTAAAAAAATAAATGATAATGAAAAGAGTTGTAGAACAGCAGGGGTTAAAGAAATTGGACCTCACTGTTTTTGGAAATGCAAACATCAGGCAGCTTCTGCATTCTTATAATAACATGAATGCTGTCTGCCTGATGGCATGTGTACCTCTGTGTTAAACGCAAATAGTTCCTTTTTCATGACAGGTGAATGTCATGCTTTATGTGTTTAGCCAGATAAGTCTCTGTTTAGCTTACAGGGTGGAGATCTGTGGGTATTTACATGGGTGTGGTTTAATGCTGCAGGATCATGTGTGCTAGTGTCTGAAAACTCACTGGGCTGTGTTTAACTCACAGACATTAGTGAAGGACCTGAAAGGGGACACCAGCGGGGACTTTGAGGACCTGCTCGTGGCGCTCGTCACTCCTCCTGCTGAGTACGACTGCCATGAAGTAATGCGGGCCATGAAGGTGACATTTCTCAATGAATTCTGCCTTGAAGTTGTTTTCTAGCTGACCAGAGTGCAGCCATCAAGCACATTTTGATGGGCTCAAAAATAACTGGACAAACTAACATAATTTTTAAATTAAGAATTATTTTTAATACTTGGATTAAAATCCTTTGCAATAAATGCCTACCTGGAGTCTAGAATCCATGCACATCCATAAACTGCATTCCTCTGCTCTACTGAGTTGGCATCAGGTGACTGACTTGGCCATTGAAGAGTATCTCGTTTCTCTCGGGTTGCTTTTGCATTTCGCTCCGGGTCATTATCCATTTGCACTGTGAAGCTCAGTGGGATCAGTTTTGCAGCGTTTGTTTGAATCTGAGCAGAGAGTGCAACCCTGTAGACTTCAGACATTAATAAACACCACTGACCTGTTCAAAGGTGCAACATTTTCACCAACATGGTTCACAGATGATATGGTACGCTCTGACCACGAGCTGTTTCACTCCTCCATGCTTTTCTTTTCGGTTTATCTCGGTTTCATTATCCAAATACAGTTATGCCCATACATATTTGCTCTATTTTTTATTTTTTTTTACCTGTTTACTGAAAGATCTTTCAATTATAGTTCTATAATGGACATGGACATAATGTGTAGACCCTCAGCTTTTGTTTAGGGATCTGGATGTCCACAGAAGACACCAGTGGTGGATGATCGCAGAATCATTTTCATGGTGAAGAGAAACCCCTTTAAAACATTGAGGCAAGTGAACAGCACTCTCCAGGAGGTCAGCGTATCGATATCCAGTGTACCATAAAGAGAAGACAGTATGAAAGTAAATACAGAGTGTTTGCTGCAAGGTGCAAGCCACTCATAACCCTGAAGAATAGAAAGGCTAGACTGGAGTAATAAACATCTAAAAT